GCAGGAATGTTAGTGGGAGGCTGTGGCTGAAGGCAGCTTTTAGAATGTACAAATCTGCTGCGTTTTCTTTAATTTGTACGCTTTGTGGGTGAGGTTTTAGCTTTTCAGGGGAGACCACTATAGGCCTTCCGAGAAATTTAAAGTGTAATTGCTTTATTTTTGTTAATGTTACTGTTAAATAGTTTGAAGTGTTTCAGAAGTTTCTAATAATAAGTATGCTCAAATTCCCCCATTTGTAAAATATATTTATTCTTCCTAACATTCAGTTATAATCCTTGCTGAGAGGTACTTTGTAAGTGCTGTAAGTCATCATTGCTTATTGCAGCGTGATGTTCTTTTCAGTTTCTTTTTTAGAGATTCTGCTAGAGTTTGTCTATGATTTAGCTAATACCCCTTCTGTAGCATCTTGGAAATATTTGAAAGTACAACAGACCACAACCTGAAGGAGTTTCCTGGGAGGGGTTGAAGCTTTTGATTTTTTCCAGCCACCTGGACTACCCACTTCTTCCATTTCTGTATTGAGTATCATATGTTAAGATAGAGAGGAAAAAAGGAAGGTAGCAATGTGTATATACCCTGAAACAGGAAACAGTAATTGCTTTTCAAGGAGCTTTAAATGTATCTTTTAAATATTATCCTAGAAATAATCACAAAATGAGACCAGACAGGACCTTCCAGTGGTCATCTAATTTGTTTGTCAAATAGAGCAGAATCAGTTATACCCCTATCATTCCTGACAGGTATATGTCTAACATTTTCCTAAAGATTTCTACTGATGGAGGCTGTAATGCCTCCCTATGGATCTAGCCCAGTGTCTCCCTGTCCTTGGTGATTGAAAGCTCTCTTTTCTCAGTACTTTAACAGAAACATTTCTTGCTGTGCAAGAGTTTAAGCCTGTTACCTTTGCTGTCCACTGTGGACAGTAAGAAGAAATTGTTCTTTAACCCTGTGCATCAGCCATTTATGTGTTTCCCCTTCCCTCTGCTGAGTCTTTATCTGACTCGTAGTCAGGTTTGTGTTTTAGCTCACAGACCCTGTTTTATAAACCTCTGATAATTTCTGCTGCTGCCTTTTGTGTGTTGATCATTTTAGATCATAGGTTCTTAGAAAATTCGTGACAAATGCATGTTTTCAGACACTAATTTAGCACATTAAATATTCTCTATGATCACTGTCTATTCACACAGGTAGTTTTTAGCAGGTGCTGTGTGACAAGGTACATAGGCCATACAATACTGCAGATGTGGAGCACAGCGAAAGAGCATCTCTCCGTGGTGATTGATTCACATCATCCTCATCAGGCAGTCTTTTGCTTGCAAATAGATGCTTGTAATTATGTTGATGACACGACAGGAAAATTTTCTGCTGCTGCTGTGTTGAGTTGATCTCTTGAGCTTGGAAGTAAGACAGCTGTGATGTTAACTGAAACATGGATCCTGTAAGAGCTCAAGAGACTAATACAGGGAATATAATAAAGCTGTTAAGACACCTAGAAAAGGCTATGTTACTCTTCTTAGAGCACCATTTCTCTGCAGCTTACTGTATTATAAAATAAAAGCTAAAAACTTTAAAAGAATTGCTTTTACTGTCTTATTTTATTTATGTTTAAAGTTGTTTCTGTTTACTTACTCCAGGACATTTGAAATGGACCAAAGCTGAGGATATTGACATAGAAACACCAGGATCTATTCTAGTCAACACTAACCTGAGGGCTTTAATAAATAAACACACCTTTGCTTCTTTACCTCAGCATTTTCAACAATACCTCCTGCTTTTGCTTCCAGAAGTAGACAGACAGGTAAGTGACATCATGCAATATTTTTTTTCTTTAATGGAATTTTTTTACAATGTGTAAAGTGTGTTGCATAGGCTGATTTAATTGACTAGAAATTGTTCCAGAAAAGAATAAGAAGAAAATTTTCCGTACTTTCATAGGTAAAATTCTTAGCTGTAGAATTACTGTAAAGTAATCCAGGGGATCAGGGGCAGCCAGCATGGCTTTATGCAAGGCAGGTCTGGCTTGACATACTTGAACTCTTTTTGTGACCATGTGACCCACCTGTTGGATGTGGGGAAGGCTCTGGACATTGTCTGCCTAGACTTTGGTAAGGCTTTGACACCATCTCCCACACCATTCTCCTGGAGAAGCTGGCTAAACATGGCACAGACAAGTGTACTCTTCACTGGGTAAAAAACTGGCTGGATGGCCAGGCCCAGAGAGCTGTGGTAAATGGGGTCAAATCTAGTTGGTGGCAGGTCACCAGTGGTGTCCCTCAGGGCTCAGTTTTGGGGCCAGTTTTGTTCAATGTCTTTACCAGTGATCTGGATGAGGAGATTGAGTGCACCCTCAGCAAGTTTGCAGATGACACCAAATGGGGTAGGAGTGTTGATCTGCTAGAGGGCAGGAAGGCTCTACAGAGGGACCTGGACAGGCTGGATCAATGGGCCAAGGCCAATTGCATGAGGTTCAATAAGGCCAAGTGCCAGGTCCTGCATTTCAGTCACAACAACCCCAGGCAACACTACAGGCTTGGGGAAGAGTGGCTGGAGAGCTGCCCAGCAGAAAAGGACCTATGGGTGCTGATGGACAGGCAGATGGACGTGAGCCAGCAGTGTGCCCAGGTGGCCAAGAAGACCAGCAGCATCCTGGCCTGTATCAGGAATAGTGTGGCCAGCAGGAGCAGGGAAGTGTTCGTGCCCCTGTATTTGGCACTGGTGAAGCCACGCCTTGAATACTGTGTTCAGGTCTGGACATGGAGTTGCTGGAGTGTGTCCAGAGAGCAATCATACAAGGAGTGGCTGAGGGAACTAGGGATGTTTAATTTGAAGATGAGGCTGAGGGGAGACCTCATTGCCCGCTACAACTACTTAAAAGGAGATTGTAGGGAAGTGGGTGTTGGCCTCTTCTTCCAAGTGAATAATGATAGGACCAGAGGAAATGACCTGAAGGGGAGGTTTAGATTTGATACTGGGAAGAATTTCTATACTGAAAGAGTGGTCAGGAACTGGAACAGCCTGCCCGGGAAGGTGGTTGAGTCACCGTCCTTGGAGGTGTTCAAGAAATGTGTAGATGTGGCACTTCAGGGCATGCTCTAGTGGCCAAGATTGTGGGGGTTTTTGTGGGTGCTTTTTGGTGGAGTGTGTGTGGTGGTTTGTGTTTGGTTCTTTTTTTGTGTGTTTGGTTTGGTTTGATTTTTTGTGCTGGTGGTTGGACTTTGTGATCTCAGAGGTCCTTTCCAACCATGACAATTCTGTTATGAAGATAAACTTCTCTTCAAGACTTTATTTACCTTGAATCTCTTTTCATCTGTGTTCCTCCTAGGCACTTTGCCAGCAATGTCCAGGTCAATATCAGTCCTGTTAGTTTCTTCCCCTCCCCACCTTTTACACATGCCTACAAATGGAGCTGCTCAGCTCCAGTGCACTGACTCCATTCATTCACACCTTTTGTAAGTTCTTGTTCAGAGCTCATGGATGTAGGCTCATGTGGGTTTTTAACCACTTCTGTTGAGGAGAATAATTTGGGGAGTAACAGGATAGAAATAAGAGTTCAATTTCATGCTGTTTCCTGCAATGTTTGGTCCTTCCTGCATTTGTTCCTTAGATTTCTGGCTTCTTAGAGCAAGAAAAAAAAGGTCTTTCCAGGATATCTAGCAGTTAAAATAGCAAAGAGAGCCCAAAGTAATTTCATTTACACACGTGCCTCACTTCTGAATTTGAACAGTTGTACCAATTACAATATTGGAATATTCAGACAAATTAACTTGCCCAAATAAGACATTATAATTTTTTTGCAGATGGTCAATATTCCTCTTTTTATGTAATAACTAGAGAATGCAGGTCACTTCAGTGATTCATTAAAACCTGCATCCTAAATCAGTATGTAAAATGCCATGGTTCCATGGCAATTAATTTGAGACAAAAAGAGAAAGAAAAAATGGTGTTGATGTACATTTACTCATCCTCTTATGAAATTAGGTACTGTATGTTGTGGACTAAAATTATACACTCTGATAATGGAATGTTTGAAAAAGGAAATTAAAACCAGAGCCATAGGAGAAACAATGTAAATGTTTTCTTAAGCTCCCACAAGGCAAAGTCAGTATTGACAAATTTTAAGAGACCCTTTTTCCCTGCTGTAAAACAGATTTTAATTTAGTGCCCAGCAGATATTTTCCTGATAGCTTTATTTTTTCTCCTTCTAGTTAATTTACCAGAAGAGATGAAAAAAAAAAATAAATAAAATATGCTAAGTAATAAATGTTTTCTCTCCAGCTATCAAAGATCCCAGTGTTCATTATTTTTCAAATACAGGAGTCTTTTATAGGAGTTTCTTACTTTAGATATTATTTTTAAGAATGGAGGCTCTAGAACTGACAAGCCATTTACCTTCTTATCAGGGTTCTTAAAGCAGTTTTTGGCAAGAAAATCAAGACAATGTTTTTTTTTTTTCATTTCGTTGCACCTCACTAGTTAAAAGCAATGCTTTTCTTTTAAATTTTTATTTCAGAAAGTGTTCATATTTCAGAAAGTGTTCATGGAGCACGCGGCAGCGCAGAAGAGAGAGCGGCAGCGGCCTCCGGAGGGGAGACGCGTGACAGGCGCGAGGGCAGGCGGAGAGGCAGAGAGCTGCACGAGGGCAGGCAGGGAGCAGCTGGTGCCTTCTCATCCTAGGAAAAGCAGACTAGTAACTAGATTGATCATGGTCGCAACACGGCCAAAAACCACTGTCAAAAAGAATGTGGGGACTCAGACGGAGCTCTGCCCAGAAAAGTTGTGAATGCCCCATCCCTGAAGTGTTCAAGGCCAGGCTGGACAGGACTTTGATCAACCTGGTCTACTGGGAGGTGTCCCTGCCCATGCAGGGAGGTTGGAACTATATGATATTTAAGATCCCTTCCAACCTAACTACTCTGATTTAATAATAATAATATGTCTAGGAGTGGGGATTAAGAACTTTACTCCATATTTTGTATTGGGCTTCTGACAACTTTGCCTTTCTATTTACATAAATCAGTAAAAAAACTCCCCTTTGAGCTGTTTTTGAAGACCTGCTAAGATTTTGCTAAGAACAGGCCTTTTAATTCTCATCAATTTCTCCTCTCTTTTCCAAAGAAAGGACCATGCTTTTACTTCTCTAGAACAGAGAATAGAGAAAGCAGCCTTCAAGACTTATTTTTTTTTTTTCCTTTTTTTTTTTTACATAGGGTCTAAACACTCCATGCAGATTTTGGGAGGTTTTCCCCCAAAATATATACATAGGACCTTTTCCAAGGGCTATTGAAAGGCCTTTAAAAGCTTCTTATTTTAATGATTTTACAGTGGAACCTAAAGAAAAGCAGTGCTGTAAGAAGAGCAAATATATGATTTGACTGAATAGAGAATTTCTAAAATAAAGAAAATACAGGAAAAAATAGAGATAGGTAAAGTGTTCTGGAGTAGAAGAACCAGAACAAGTTTCAATGTGGACTAAACTTGGAAGAATCTTTGAGTCAAAGAGAAGGCTAGACTGAGAAAACTGAGAACTGAAAGGATTGGAAAAGATAATATTATAACTCATGATTTCTTATCCATAGGTAAATCTGTAATGTTTAGAATAACCTCTTTTTGAAGACATACATAATAAAAACAAATGTGGTGGTAGAGAAACAGTTTTGAATTCCTGCAGATTTGCTGAGCTGTGAATTCAGAAAAGGTAAACCTCTGAAAGAGGGAATTTAAAAGCATTTTAAAATGCAACATTTAGATAAAACAAATAAACAAATAAATAAGTGGTTATAATAGAAAAATAAAAATAAAACAAAATATGGGATAATCTGAAATATTCTCTTCCATTTTTTTAAATTTGAACAACAGAAGCTGTTACCTGTCCTACCTTACTCCTAAACACTGAAACCCAGAAAGAAAAAACAAGGGACAAAAAAACCAAACCATTTTACACTCCTACAAAATTACACATATTTATATTTCAAAGAATCATTGCATTCTAATTATTCACAGTACTGCTATGACTTTTCACTCTACTTTGAATTTCTTCCCCTTAATAGCAAGTCTCCTTGCTTTCTCTTTTAATGTAGCAATACTACAGAATCTAAAAGAAGAAAGGTAAAGAAAGAGAGAAAGAAGGATAGACTGAGAGTGAAAAGCCTGACAACTGTGTAACAAACAAGAACATAGTAGAAAAAAAATGTATTGTACTGAAGCTGAAAATTCTTTTTGAAAAATGTCAGAAGACCAGGTAGATTATTAAGCAATACAGTAAGATAATTATTTGTTTGCCTTGTTTGTACAATATTAACTACCTAATTTGTAAGGCATGGTGATAGAATTTAAATGCTAATAAAATCTTAACTGAGCTGATGTAATCACAACAAAACAGATTTTATATGAGTACATATCCTGTGTGGAAGGAACAAAATACCCAGCAGGACCAGAACCCTGGACTTCCACAGGGCAAACTTTGGTCTCCTCAATCATCTATTAAGGGAAATCCCATGGGACAGGGTGCTAGAAAATAAAGGAGCTCAAGATAGCTGGTCAACATTCAAGGACCACTTCTTGCAAGCACAGGATCAGAGTGTCCCAATGGTTAGGAAATCTAGTAAGGGTGCTAGGAGACCTGCATGGTTAAAGAAGGAACTACTGGGCAAACTTAAGTGGAAAAGGAAAATCTACAGATCATGGAAGGAGGGGCTGGTCACGTGGGAGGAATATAGGACTGTTGTCAGAGGATGTAGGGAGGCAATTAGGAAAGCTAAGGCCTCCTTGGAACTTAACCTTGCAAGTCAGGTTAAGGAT